GACTTGAAGAAAAACCCACAAATACCGCGCAGTTTTACAGGACTTTTACAGCAAAGTCTGAGAGAAGTGTACTGTTGTTAAAAGTTTGTGGACTGATCCACTTAATCTATTGTAAGATTCATGATTACGTGTCCCAGTAAAATATTAGATGGGCGTGCTAGACACAGTACATATAAACAAACTTAATCCGGTAGTTTAAACGAAATTATTTGGCTCACAAAATTTTACGTATATATCTAAAAGTTGCTTACTCAGACTTGGGTTGTCAATTGTGTATGATAGAACGTTTAATTATGATATTGAACAAGCTGTGTAGGTTTTCATGGTTGTGCTGTACGTGTTGTTCAGTGTGATGCCTGACGTTTCACTCCAAGTGCTGGGGAGAACAACACATTCGACATCGTGCCGAACATGTGTTACAACTATAAACACACTCATGACATCTACCAAGTGCACATATTCACGAGAAGTTGTAAAATCACAAATTATAGTTGAGACTCCAAACTAGATTCATGGAATTACTAGGATTTAGTGTAATGCCTGAGGCTCATAGAAGCAAACTAAGGCACCCGAACAAGATGAAACACATAAGAGACAAAAATGTCACGGTGCAACAGGCCACCCAGACATTACAAATATAAATTAGACACAGGCGGTATGTTGGTGCTATTTTAAAAGTCCCATTTTTCATTGAATATATATTAAAGTCCAGTATTTCTGAAAATGTATTTAAATACAACCGTTCACTGAATCTAATGCAATGCTTTATCAGCAAATGGGACGTTGACTAAGGATTCTCTACAACGTTTCATCACAAGTCACATCCTCATGGTGTCTGCAGGGACGACACAGGTAATCATGGATGTTTCTCAAGAGCTTGGCCAGGAATCAAACCTAGTCCTCGTGACTTTGGGTCCAGCACATTGCACTCCATTTCCATCCACCGAAAAAAAGATGTCATGATTGCTGTACAGCACTGAGCATTCCTACAACAAGCCATTCCTGCCACTACTGGTAGCCAAGACAAAACATTCAAATTCCTTTGCTAAAATAACAATGATAACAAGGTGCCGCAATTCCAGATGAAATGATTTCAACAAGGGGCAATTGTTTGGATTTTTTTTCATGTACAGCTGCAGCATTGGTCTAAATGTGTGTGCAAAATTGCAGGTGCGAGCAACGTGCATACATAAAACAAACTCTTTATATAGTCATGGCTATGGTATACGGTGGTGGTGGGGAGAGGGTCAAATGATGGATGTGATGTGGTACATTACCATAGTACATAGAATTTATCCATACGCAGTCATACCATTTCTGTATTTTAGGTCTTCAAAGTAGAACAAAGCAGACATCTTTTTAGTGCTGGGTGACTTGACGCTCAGTGTTTTTGCCAATGAACCAGTAAGCAATGAGCCACCGGTTTCAATTTCCTCATTTGCCTGATAATATATTTTTACGGGGAATTTCCAAAGCACTGTGTGCTGTTAAAAGGACATCTAAGACCATGTGAAATAATTCACAAGAATAGAGTATTGTGTGTATGGGTGTGATAGGCAAAACCATAATTTGACAATCACCCATAACAAGGTTTAAAAAAATGCCTATGTAACGTAAGCACCAGGATCCTCCTTTGAAAGAGATAGTGCATTGCAATGGACTGCCAACCAGGTTAAATAAAGAACATTACAGTAATTAAAGTTTATCAATATGGTCTGTAATGTGATTCAAATCACATCTTGAAGGGATGCACATTAATCACCTATTGTTTTTGTGCCAAGTTTCATTGAGCAAAAAAAGCTCCACAATTGCTTCCTCCGGCTTCACAAAAAAACATACAATATTTTCACTGTTTTACCTTATAAAGATAAAACACAAACACAAATATTTGCCATATAACCTAACATGCTGTTGGGGAATGTTCTATTAGAAAGCACCTATGGAGGTTATGTTAGCAACCATCGCCATTCACCACGAAGCAGTAGTGAAATAACGACAGCATTTGTGCCAGGCTAGGTGCACTTTTAAACCATGTGAAGTGTCGAAGGCTCGGTGATAGTTCACGTGACAGAGGCAGATGTGGGGAGATAGCCGAGATGGCTGGCAGCTGCACTACCGCTGCTCTTCACTGTATCACACAAGTACACATCCGTGCACAAACCAGCAAAGTGCAAAACATCCTTTCGTCCAAAAAATCGTAACGGGTTATTTTAACGAGCACCTAGTGTGCAAAGAGGCACACGAGGTGGTAAATGAGGACAGCTTCGCGTATTTTATCCATCTATTGTCAAACTTACCATCAGTCTTAACACATGCAGTGAGTCATAATTAAGGCCGAGAAAACCCATTGAGAGGACGTCATGTTCCAAATGCGACGAAGATAGTAGTGCATGTAGTGTACATTACTATTTACAGAGCTCAATAAAAATGTATTATTACAGCCAATGCCGTTTATGCCAGGACACCTTGTGGTAGATCCCACATCTGTTGCAAAGTCAACTGACCTCCTCCCTGCTCTTGCATTATCCCACCATTTGTACTTTAAGTGAGGATACGTCTCACTGAATATTTTTAGGATTACTGTAGACTGGAGTAGGCATGTGACCAGTAGCCACAGCCATGGTGAGAGTTATTACTGGATGCGGGGTCTGGAAATATTTTCAGAGTTACCATTCTGGACAAACTCAGCTTAAATAAAGCCCTGGCTTCTAAGTATTCCCACAAACACAGATCATTCAACAAACAAGCAATGGGACCGTGCTAATCTCCAGACGAGGCCCCAAGTCAGTGGTGGAAATTCCACATTCCCATGGCAGGGGGTCAGTCTCTCCATCAGATGACAGCTGCAAGATTTCCACGACGTTTTTACTCGTTTTACTCGTTTTCTGGAACGAAAAAATGCAGTAAAGTTTTTTGTAAGATCAAAACATTGAGATTAATTGTCACAGCTGCTACGTATTTCCTGAAAAGGCCAAGACATTGTATTATGCTACTGCCACCACTTTAAGTGGCTCACCAGGATTTTACTCGTTCTAGATTTGAAGTTTTCGTGACTGCAGGGATCCATACTCTTTGGTTCTTTTAGGAATAATTTTATTTTACAGCTACGTGACTTTACCGAAAGCATTTTACTCGTTCATAAATGAAGCTTTCCTGATGCATTCCGAACAGGATGACACTGACCTCATCTCTATAAACTTAATTTGTAGCTTTCGTGACTGCAGGAATTATTCTTTGGTTCTTTCGGTAAAGTCACGTATAAAGATAAAATAATAAATTAAATTATCTCTCTCAAATTTTAGCATTCTCAGGAAGAACGTAATCAACCAGATAGGGTGTTGACTGTTATGTTATCCGACTCTCCGTTGTATTACATTACATTTCTAAGTATACTAGATTTGTGTTTCTATTTAATTTATACCTGATGATGATTGCTTGTGTTGCAATCGAAACGTCGTATGCTAGTATTTAATTAAATTTATTATTTTATCTTTATACGTGACTTTACCGAAAGAACCAAATAATAACTCATCTCTATAACCTACTCTCTATACCGAAGAACAGAACCCTCGATACCGGACAGCTTTTATCCGTAGCGGCCCTCACCGTCTGGAACGCAGTCACCGCTGCTGCTGCTGCACATTCGCAGTAACAGCGGCGTTCACTCCACGCAGACTTTTAAGAGGCACTCAAAGTGCCGTCCAACTCTTTCGACCGGCTTTCGAGTGACCGCAAGCTTGGCTCCTCCAGTGCCTCAGAGTTACGGTCATTTTTGCCCGTGAGATATTGTTCGCCTTATACATTTCATTAACATGTGAACCTACTTTTACACGAATATCGTAGCTCGTCGTTGCAGGTGGATGGCAATGGGATGACAGAGCCCTCTGCTGGAAATAAATAGCATGCACATGCGTATTGAGGGCCAGAGTACTTCCAAATTAGTCTCACCAAAGTATGGCAATCATGAACAAATATCACCTGGTCTTCATGTGCAATGATTGCCCCCTTCAATGTGAATATGGAATTTCCACCATTGACTCAGAGTCTCTAAGAGTTGGAGCAGATACTGCTTTGTGTGTACGACTTAATCTGGCAGTGGATATCATGAATGATGCCCCAATCCAGACCAGTATTGTAATTTCCACAGCAGCTTGAGTTGCCGGTTTAAAATCATCATCAGCCATGATCTATCAATTACTGGATGAATGCCTCCAAATTAGGGATGCCACCATTACAAAGAACAAATCATGCCAATGTCCGTACTGGTCCGGGTCAAATCCGGACAGGTGGCAATGTCATCACCATCCCTCGCGTTGAAACTCCACGTGGCTTTAGCTACTGCTAAAGCCACGTGGAGTTGCTGTTGCAGAGGTTCACAGTTCGAAGGCAGCGGCCGCCCTGAATAATAGTGCGGGTGGCTTAACCCCCAATTGGAATGCCACTCGCCGTCTGCTTCACTCGCAGTGGAAGTGAAATATCCGAGTTGGCCATTGGGCTGCGGCGTCACGGTCCACACTTGGAAATTTTGAAAAGTTACCTCGCAAATTACTCGATTGGGATTATGAATAAGAACAACGAGAATCAGTAGCGTGGCTTTCATGGGGAAACGTGAGTAGCAAATACATTTTATTGTAAAATAGGCCAGCAGAGAATTCCACGTAGAATCTGAAAAGGGAGATTCAGAGCCATCAATGAATTGTTGAAACGACGCGCCTGGGTATTACGTCATCGTACAATGCCGCAACACCTTTAAACAAAAGTTGTACAATGACGTCATTTACAACTTTGGTGGCGTGACGTCATCCTCCATACACTCGTTGCGACCTCCACCCGACTCGTTGGCAACGATGACGTCTCCCCCGCTCGTGTTTCCCGCGATGACGCAACGACAACACACAGCGCCGTGACGCGCCATGCGGGCCCCCGAGACATGACGTCAACGCACCGCGAAGCTTATAAATGACGTCACGGCGCACAGCTGTCACCTCCCTCCCCTGCTGAGTGACGTCATCACCGCGCCGCCGCCACCGCAGCAGCTGACGCCGGGCCACGCTTCTCAATGTCACATGTCCCGATCATCGTAACTTACTTTTAAATTTCCCTCCTAATTGTTATTATTACTGGCTTAAGTTACCGTAAACTCTGGTGTACGCTGCGTTGGACATCTTCAAGGATGTTCGCCTTTCGGCGTTTGATCTCCGCGCAGCTGGTGAGTTGAGGGCGAACGGTTCGGGTTGAAAGTCGTGTTGCATAAGCGACATGCGGGGTTCAAAGTGCCCTGCTGGAGTTTTGACGTTGTGGGGCCATGTACGAATCAAAGGGTGTACGCGTGATCAGTGGACGTCTGGCAACACGGGGGTGGGCATCTGTGTGTGGAAGAGCTTCATAGCTCATCGGATTCCTCCGGTTTAAATCGAGATCGCCCAGTGCAGATGGAACCGTGAGAGATGATCTGCGCGGATGGTCTGTGGATCGCAGCACGGCTTGGAGAGGCCTCCATCCAGCGGTGGATGGATCGTGGCTGATGATTGATACTGTTTTTGGCCAGTGGGTCAATTGTGCAACGATGGAAGGGGGTGGTCCCCGTCATGGGATGGTGGAATGTCCGCCACTGGCTAAAAAGCACGTGGACATTGAGCATTGCCCGACATTTGTTTCGGTGTGGACACACTTTCCGTTTTGAATGTTTGCTAATTAAACACCATTTGCATTGCACGGTGAAATCCCTTCTTAACGCGTTATCCTTCAGGGGTCGATAAAATAAGTGGCGCATTGTGGAAACTCAGTCGCGGGTCGTCCTTAACAGACTGCGCCCAGGCATAGGAATGTGGAATTTCCACCGCTGCCTCAATGCCGCCAAGAGATGAACATTGCCCAATGTTGCTGTTCATGCCGTGCGGCGCTTTTGAGCTGGATTTGTGCGTGTCGCGTAACGTTCTCTTCTTGCTACACATCCCTGCAGAGCTCTTCACTTCAAGGCGTCCCCGGCTAAATGCAGGTCCTCAAGCTCCTGTCGCAGTGGCCGGCTTGAGAGACGTTTCAGGGCATTTTTAGTTGCTCAAGCTGAAAAAAAAATGATTTCACAAGAGCAGCGAGATCCATCGGGACAGTTTTAACCGATAAGGTCTCCTTCGCGACTAACTGCTTTTCGAGGCAACTGCGGTGCCCCCCGTGTTACATCACAGGGCTGTGAGATATGGCGAAAGTTTGAGGCCATCATTCAGCAGTGGATAGATCATGGATTAAGCATAACGTGAACTCCGGTCACCCTCGCAGCAGCAGCGGCTTATAGCTAGCGATCGAACAAAGATGGTCACTTTCATCGCGCGCTTTCAGATGCGCTTCTGCGGCCGTCTGGAACGCTCTTCCTATATTAGGAAGATACTGGAACTTATACACTTTTAAATCTAGATTGAAAACTAATTTCTTTACAACTGCTTTGTGTGTTTAGTCGGTTGTCCCAGCACCTCCGATTGGCACGGTTGGCTACGTACGGCTACGTATGGCGCAAAAGAAGTTCAACATACGTACAAAGTGGACTGCACAGTTTACACATACTGTAGATGTAAAGCATTGGCTGACATGGGGAGCTGAAATGGATTCCTCTGAACAAAACCTGGACTTGGCTATCATCACATTTACAATCTGTGCACCAGAGTCAACGGGCAAGAATATTTCATTACTTGATTTGCCTCGTTAATATTTCGCTGCAAAATTTCCATTCATTTGTTGGTAATGAAGGGCCATTTAAACCTAGGGGGAGGGGCAGCAGTGTTTATGCTCCACTGCCAAAGCAACATCACCAAATATCTTGTGAGGGCAATGGCTGCTGTATATTTGGATCTTTATTTGAAGCTTTCGTGACTGCAGGAATCCATACTCTTTGGTTCTTTCGGTAAAGTCCAAATAAAACTAAATAAAAAATAATATATCACGACGTTTCGATCGCAACACAAGCAGTCGTCCGTGTTGAGGACGACCGCTTGTGTTGCGATCGAAACGTCGTGATATCTTATTTTCATTTTGTTTTATTTTTCTACCTACGTGACATTACCGAAAGAACCAAAGAGTATGTATATTTGGAGTTTACATGTTCTCCCTGTGATCACATGGGTTTTTCTTCGTGTTCTCTGGTTTTTTCTTCCACATTTACGAATATGAGTTGAGAGTATTTGGTTGCGATACATTCCCACAATATAAAGCCACTTCATTGAGCTATTATTTGTGGCCAGGTCAATTCTAAAAAGAGAGCTATATAGCTCAGTGGCCCTTATCTGGTAAAATATAACGTAATTCATTGTTTAGTTTATAGTAAGGGTCACACGGGCTGACTGGTCGCTTTGTGTCTCCGAATGCTCGTGATGCATGTGCCGCACTTCACTCCAGGAGCGTGCGCGTGCCGGCCTGCTGCGGCGAGCGAGCTCGGCTGGCTCCGAGGGCGAAGTGCGCATTTCCAGCGTCCTCCAGGAGAAGTTCCCCAACGCCAAGCAGGTCCGCGTGGTTGACGTCTCTGGTGAGGCTGCCGCTGCTGCTGCTGCTGCTGCCGTTGACTGCCCGTCAATTCAGCCTCCCTGCGGGCCGTGCATTTGACGCATTGGTGTCGATGTGTGTTAATAGGTAAAGGTAAAAAAAAGATAAAGGTGCAGCTCTGAGAATTCTTGCTCATGTCACTGGTGACAAGAAGAGCCTCCGCTGAAGGAAACCCCGCTAGGATTATTTGGCCTGTTATTCTGCACTGGCCAGGTATCTTAGAAGAGGTGGTAGTAGTCACACTTTACCTAACCACACGTGACTTGCTGACACTGGCGGAGGCTGTGGGGAGGGCGGGGTGGTACGTGCCTCCTCGATTATCCTGATCGAAATCGCTCATTTCGATCAGGATCATTGGGGTTTATTAGTAATAAATCAGCATTTTGCGACGCCCACTACCACTCTGTAGCATATTATGTATTACATGCCATGAGATGATAGGACAATAGTCTGAGTCCATAATTGGCAATAAGTAATGGCAAAGCAGTTATAAGTGACTCACAGAATTGTGCGCAGTTGCGTATAGAGTACATGACTTCCCTGAAGGCATTCACCTTCAGCGAGCGCGATGCCGATCACACACGGTTCGAATTCGACCCTCGATCGATGGCTGCGCCATCGCCGCACACGCTTCGAATAAAAAGCAAGGGACAAGTCCTTACTAACAACTCCTATCATTTTTCATTGCTGGAGGGGTTGCTCCCCTATCTGAAAATCCTGGCCCCACCATTGCTTGCTGATCGACTCAACTGTGGTGTAACCCTTTGAACTGAGTGGGCAGACGTGGGGATATTTACGAAACGTACACCATTGTTTCAACTGCCACACCGAGAGATTGAACCGCTACCTTTGGATTGAAAGTTCAGTGTGCAAACCGGCGGCATCCATACGTGCGTTAATGTATGTATGTATGTCTGTATTATTATGTGCAGGGGGGGATCAGGGATGATTAAGGTTAAGCTCACTTTCACTATGCACCCAGCCACTGGAGTTAAAGTCCCAGTCATGGCTAATGTCAGTGGCTATTGATATCTTAACTAATCCTGGTCTCCCCCCTCGTTGATGAGCATTGAGAAGTATGATCAAACAACCCCCTTGACAGAAGCACTGTGGAAAAGGCTCTCATCCAGCAGTGGGTTTCCAAACTGCCTGTAAAGTAGAATTATTTGATTTAGACCTCTAAATCACTTGCTATCGGTATTCCTACAATGCTTGGTGGTTAGAGAAATGCGGTATCCATAACTTGTTTACGTAATTACTGTTGTGCGTGCTCTCCCGGCATGCCCCATTAACTACAGATTATCCCACTATTTTAGGGCCACACATACTGCATCCACCATACGCGTCTGGAATTTACAGCACCCACACAATTACATGGTTCTTTAATAGTCTGCTTAAGTCTACAGCATTCCTCTGCTGCATCAGCAGGCGTTGTTTTTTTGTTTGAAGTTTCATATAATGTAAGCTGCTATGTCTGCATGTAGTGGAAAAGTAAATTGCCTTGAAAATGTCCTTAATATTCCATAAATGTCTTGTAACATCTTGTCGTGTTGTACAAATTATTGGCTTGTTTAGATTTCGTTTGTCCATTAGCTTTCACTTCATGTGAATTCAATTAACTTGTCAAGCAGCTTAAATATAAATTATGTCTAGCAGCAGTAGTCCCATAAATAAAATGTATTATAAATACTTGGCATATACTGTAATTGCTAAAGCAACAGTAATGCATTTTGTATATGTTTTTTTCCTTCATATTTCTGTCAGTATTCATGGACATTATAAGCCATTATCTTATCCACTGCTGAATGAGACCTTCCCCATGCCTTCAGCAACTCTCATGGTCTTGCCAATGTAACAAGTATAACCCGTAAAAACAAAGTTTTTCACTATAAATCCTTTATATGCGTGGTGGCTAGAGTCCTCTCGTCCTCTGGCTTGAGATGGCTGCCACCTATGGGTCAGATGATTGCATGGCAGCATTAAGCAATTGGTAATTAAATATAATATTTTTGTCCTAAAAAGTGTAAAATTTTGGAAAAAAAATTTCACGAACATTAATTGTCACGCACAACGAGTCTGTGTGGAAAATGTCAGCTTGATTGGATCACGGGAAGTGGGTTAAAAAACGACCGAAAGATTTGCACGGTCCTAAGCAAGCAAGCGAACTTAATATAAAGTATTTAAAAATCCATGAAGTTCTTTTGCACGAGCTGAGTTTATGTCCGCATGTACGTATTACCGGGTGTGTTCCGTAGTTTGGCTGTCACTTGCATCGTTCGTTTTAATGAACGGGCACTGTCCTATCCAGCGACGTGTCCTGCCCAAGCCCATATTTCTTAACAGTCCGTACGACAACGCAAGGGTTTTTGCAGCCAATATTAAGATGTATAAAGGATTTTCCAGTTTGGAGTGAATACGTGTTATCTGTGCGCATATAAAGTAACTGACGTGTACATTTTAAAGTACAAAGAAGACTATTTTTGTTTCCTAGAAAAAGCATTGTCTCGATGTTTTTATTTTATTGTCGTTCAGGAAGACGATGGTTTATAGTTTAAGTTTTAAATACACGTAGAGGATGGGTGGGATTTTGTTATTACAATGCTAATTGTGTAAAACTTTATAAAAGTAGAGAAGGCAGGGTGCGGTAGTGATGGGCAAAGTTTCCAACAATTTGGATCTATGAATAAAATTGGACTTTATTTAAATGTGTTGTCTTTCACAATGCCATGGGATGGATCAAACCCTTTGCAATGGTGTCTGGGGAATTATTACAATTCAAATCAGTGAATGATTGTATTTGTGGGGAAACTATTGTATCCTAAAACTGATCGTGGATATTGTTTTATGATTATATTTTTTTTGTTAAGATGAAATGAAATTCAAAGTACCTTAACAGTACCTTGCAGATGTGTCGTCTTATTAATGATGCATTCCACAGAATAGTTGTATTTATAATAAATATATATTTAAATGCTACTATTAATCATGAGTGTTCATGAAAATGAAATGAAAACTGGCAAGTGCACAAAGAAGCATGGAGAGATTCATGTTTGGAATTACATTGAGACAGAAAGAGGAACTTGAATTGGAGACCATGCAGGTTCGAGACGTAACATGGACTTAAAAAGAGTAAGTGGGCAGGACACATTGTTATAATACTTTATATTTAAGCTTTTAAAGGCCCATCGAAGCTAAGCAGCTCTAAGCAGAAGGGATGATGGCCGGTGATCTCAAATAAATTATGGAACACGCTCTAGAGTACATCCACCACGGAGGTATGAAACCAACCTATGTGCAGGTGTTAGATAGATTGGTACATCCCAGGACTGTGAGAGATGGTGAAGACTTGGGGAGGCCTTCATCCAGCAATAGACTTGTCATAGCTGATGATGAAGATGAGTGTTCGAGTGACATCACTTTTACATCACCCCAATGCGTTTTAAACATCACTGTGGTGACATCCATAGAGCACTCCTAACCGTGAATTTAAATATCTTGTCACATTATCGTCGGCTAGATGCCCAGGCCATCGAGCCCGGAGCACGTATCCGCAAGATAACATCCGACTGTTTTTCAGCTTTCTTCTCCCCTTAAATGTCGCGCCTGCGTTGCCGCGTGGTGCATTGCAGGTGGCTGTGGGGCCATGTACGAAGTGCACGTGGAGTCGGAGGAGTTCCGAGGAAAGCGCGTGGTGATGCAGCATCACATGATCAACCAGGTGGGGGCCCCCGTGAGCCAGTCCCTCCCACAGCCAGCCATGCTTTGCGTAGGCTTGTGGGGGGGGGGGGGGGGTGGGCTGCCGTTACTCACGGGAATGAGTTCCTGATCCCCCCCCCACCCCTCGCTTCTGGCCCATGATTAGAACATTGCCATTCACACCGCTATGCACACTCGAGTTTGTCAGCTGAATGCATGCATTGATTACGATGCTGTAACAACAAGGCGAGGAGGTGTATAAGTGAGATTGAAGGAGTGGATATGAAGGCTATTGTCACGTACATCGTATGGCATGCTAGTTATATTACAGTAAAACCTTGCCGAATGCGGGGGTTACGTTCCTGGAAAATACAATGTTGGGCCAAACTGCGTTTCACAAATAATAGGCCTAATCTTCTTGGTTCTTTCGGTAAAGTCACGTAGAAGAGAAATAATAAAATAATAAAAATAAAACATAATAAAATAATTTTCACGACGTTTCAGACGCTGTCTTTCCGACAGACCTGTTCTTCACCTGAGGACGGCTGCTTGCGTTGTGGCCGAAACGTCGTGAGAATTATTTTATTATGTTTTATTTTTATTATTTTATTATTTCCTTTCTACGTGACTTTACCGAAAGAACCAAGAAGATGAATCCCTGCAGTTAAATCGAAAGAATAGGCCTAATGTGAAAATTATGGAATTATCACCTCCCTCTTTATTTAATTAAATCTCAATGATTTCACCCCACTTGGTTTCACGTCGAAATAAAAACAGACACATAATACATTTAAATAGAATATGAGAAAACATATTAAAACATAGAATGAAATAATCGTGCCCTCCGATTTCTTAATCGTTCTCACAATCGATTAATTCAAGTACCTTCCAACAGATTCATCACTTTTCTCACCACCACCACCACTCAACTTGCGCTTAGGGGCCACGATGAAACATTGTCTAAGAGCACTGAGAAGGAGTAATAGTCGTGAGATTATCAACACAACAGCGTGGAAGATGTGCACGGAATGCTGCTAACGTACGGAGTGAGACCGCACGAGAGCGCTGGGGAGGGAAGGTCACGATGAGATAGCCATCCGCATCGTCTAATGTACGGTACAGTACAAGCAGGCGATGAACTACTTGTCCAGACGGAGATGAGAATCTCAGCAGCGTCAAACCGCACACAGCCAAAGCATCACCCCCATACTCTTAGTTTTTTCGGTGAAGTCACGTAGGTAAAAGAAGCTTGTGTTGCCTCCGAAACGTCGTGATTTTTATTCTTTTATTTTTATTAATTTTTATTTCATTTTTTTACCTACGTGACTTTACCGAAAAAACTAAGAGTATGAATCCTTGCAGTCACGAAAGCTTCAAATCTAGAATCATCACCCCCATTTCGATTTAAAGCTTTCGTGACTGCAGGGATTCATCTTCTTGGTTCTTTCGGTAAAGTCACGTAGAAGGGAAGTAATAAAATAATAAAAATAAAACATAATAATATAATATAAAATAATATCATATAATACAATAAAATAATATAATAAAATAATTATTTTATTATGTTTTATTTTTATTATTTTATTACTTCCCTTCTACGTGACTTTACCGAAAGAACCAAGAAGACATCACCCCCATGTTCCGTAAAACGTACCTTACGTGAACTGTGTCTTAGCAGAAACATGCATTTGTTAAAACAGCACTGGGCAAAGCACGACTGACTATAAGAAAACAAGTTTTGCTGGCTGGCTCGGCGGTACCATCACCACACACATCTGCATGATGACGTCATCCCTATCCCACAGCGCTGTCACCTGGGTTTGTGCCTTGTGCTGACATCAAGCATTAACCCCCCCCCCCCCCCTCACCAAGTGCTGGATTTAGGCGTAAGCTAAGTAAATTACAGCTTAGGGCCTCGCATTGAGGGACCTCTAAATACGAAACAATACAAATTTTAAAGTTTACATTATCAGTTGAAAAAGAAAGGACAAAGGCAAAAAAAAGACTCTAAAATGGTTATTTTCTTTCTGATATGACTTATACACAGGCATTCCTCGATTTACAAAATCTAAGCTTTAGTAAGCTTAGGGGCCCCAGAAATGTCATAATCTGGCCCTGGCCGTGTATCCTACGCAAATGCACGGGCAGTGTTCATATGATACAATGTAGTTTTCATTACATTGCGTTGCATAGGAGTCTGATCCAAAATGACTATTCGATTTATGAGGATGGTGCAGGAGATGACATTATTAAACGTTGGTGAGAGCAGATATGAACTTGCCGAGAAGGAACATAGGGAGTATCAAGACGATAGAAATTAAGAAATGAAACTGTTGGGAAAAATCTAGGCCTACAGGAAACTGGTGCAAAAGATACAAAAATGCTGAATTATTTCACGTGATTGTGTAAAAGAATGGAGGTTGACAAAGCCGGGCGCTGGTGGCGTATGTCTCTAATCCAGCACAGCGGAGGCGATGTTTGGTGGATCGCACAAATGTTGAAAAACTGTCTTCCATACCCCGACTTGCCAGGAGAAGTTAGTACAGCTAAATACGGACGAACATCATCTGTCCCTTCTATATGGGAAAGGTTGTTGCCCTCCCCCCCCCCCCCCCCCCCCAATGGGTATTGTCTGGGTGCTCCAGTTTCCTCCCACATGTATAAACACTGATGAATTGGCTAATAACATGTTCAGATTCAGAGGTCGGCAGAACTTTCTCAATCTTTGGCGGCCGATTCACCACCCGGTCGCCTTCTAGATTGTCTGATTCTCAGCCATTGTGCGATTCAATTTGCATGAACGATGACGCTATATATGAAACCAAACGTTACTATGATTTAATGACCATCGGTGGACTAGTAATGCCACGTGTATGGACAAAGTAGTAGAGGTCGTCAATGCAAGAGGTGCATTGAGATCGTAAGGCAGGAGTTCAAAGAGGTAAGTGTCGGCCGACTGGAAGCGATTGCAAGAGAAACAAGAAAAGATTGGTGTAGAGATGAAAGTGGTCCTGAATTTGGACTTGAAGGGAGTCATTAGTGTGGATAGTGAATGGAAGGAAGTTCTAGATGGTGGGAGCAACAGATGTAAAGGGGGATGACCGCATTGTTTGGGGGGGGGGGGGAGAACGGTGGAAGCTACCATGGAAAGTGTGGGATCTTCAGAGATAAAGAGGATATGGCAAGGGCAATAATATGAAGTGGCTGGCTGAATAAGAGCACTGATGGTTATGCCTTTGTCACAATACCAGCTCTGTGGAGATCCTTGATTAAATCCCAGACAGCTGCTAAAAATTAAAGCCATGTTACAAGTATAAATGTTCAATAGTCTCAGCTTGGATGAGCACAGTTTATGCAGCAAGTTATGAAGAAAAAAATGCATGTCACATATTACAATGGCTCTCAACACAACAGAGTTCACTTTTGTTTCAATTCAAACTCGAGCATCACACGAGTGCACCCCACAAATTAGAAATAACCGCAACGCCGGTTTTAATATGTGTGCTGTTCTCTCAAAATGGAATGACACATTTCACGGGTTGTGTTTTTTTTTATCTAAAACATGCCAGTTATATATTGGCTTGGCACTGTTGCATCGCGTTATTTACACCACTCTATTTTCATACGTGAAAAAGGGGTTATTGTCATCTCACAACGTTTGCACTGTGTTACATATTTGTTTGTTTCTGATACTTTGTAATCACTGAACTCACAATGCAGCTACGTGTGTGCTTGCTTCTCTTTGCAGGCACTGAAAGATGAGATCAAGGGAATGCACGGACTGCGAATATTTACAACAGTTCCAGAAGATAAATAATTGGGAGTCTTAAGCCTCTGTTAGCAGGCATTTGTTCGTATATATACACGTGTGTGTTGCTGCCATTTTGCCCATTTGGAATGTTTGGGAATTTGTACAAGCTCACATACATAAAAAACACAGACAAAATGAAAGCGTTTTAGTTGATTGCTGAAAGATCTGGGTTGTCACAGTCGTGTTCTAAATAGGCAGCTTGAGTTCTCACATTACTATCCCAAACGGGAAACTTATTACCTCCGATCGGTGCATAGGGATAGGATTATAGTTGCAATCCTGAGTGTCCGAATTTAGGAAGAGGATTTTGTTAACATAGATATGTGACTTTAAAGGGACTCACGATTGCAGCTTAAAGTGGTTTTGTTAATTCCTTCATTTTCAAACCGCACATTTTGGCAGCATCAATAGATATATGCAGTTGCGTACTTATGCATAAATGTTACACTTATTTACTGTTATCTGCCGTTTCTCAGAATAATACTACGAAATTACCACCCATAGTTTATTAATGTGGCCAAGGATTTGCATACTGTAAGAGCAAATTATTATAGGAAACGGACAGAACATTTTCACCCATAGTATACGCATCTAAAGTCATCTGTAGAATGGCAGAAATGTTACTATTACATGGCAATCTCTTTTTCTAACCATTCTCCATAATAGTGCAAATATACGCGAGCCTAATTGTTACAGCAGCTTCAAAGGACTGCACGTGCACGTCTTGCAAACATATATCTTTAGAATTCTCTAGTTGGCTTTATGTAGATGTTATGCTTTTGTACATTTTACAAGCAAAACATTTCTCCAGTTATAGTGTTATTGCTGGGCACATCAAGAAAAGGGGAAGATGTTTTCAAATTGAGGTTGTAGGCAGGGCTGGTCTGCCTGTAGAATCACTGTGTTTGTTTTGTTGTGGGTATGCCTCCTAAGAAATTGGAAATGCCAATCTCAGAGGTTAATGTCGCCACTACATCAAGCCTGCAGCACGAAACTGCATTGCAAGCAAAGCCAATATCGCCCTCGATAGGAACACATTTTTCCCGTGCGTTTCATCCATATGGAGCAGCATCTATACATTTGCTTTTGTCTGGTTATTAATCCATAGCAACACAACATTGCTTTCAACTAATTGCATGTTTCAATAAAGGAATGAATTGCGCACCTACCCGTACATTTCTGCATCCCCTTCACTAGAGATTTTTTTTGGTTTTTTTGCAGAATTTTTTTTAATTCAGATTTGTATCACTTAATCCAGTATTGCGCTGTGCATCAGTAACTTAAGTTGATTTTCCTTCATGGAGAGGTGGTTCAGTCAGGGCAGATGCACACGACCACAATTTAAGCCGTACAGATTAAGTTTCGGTAACAAATTGAGATTGGCAAACAGTTCTTTGAATATGCAAGGTGTATGGAGAATCTCTGAAGTTTCTTGGAAACCGAGTCTATGTTGAAATGTGCCCAATAATGTAAATCGTAAAATAAACGTTGGCCAAATGGCAACAATGTTTTAACATGGTCAAAATGAAAGCCTGCATATTCCCCTTAAGCGGCACACATACTTTTTAGAAACTGCCAATTTTTATATTTACATATAGAATGCCAATTACTGCAATTCCAATGCTGCAGTCTTCCTACTGTTGGGAATATATAATGTGTCATTAAGTGATTCAAATGAGAGTATCTGTAATTTCCCATTCATGCCACCTTTTCATTATCCTGCTTCATGTCATAATGTGTGGAATTATTCGTAACTTATTTGAAGGCTAGATTTTGGGAACAGCAACAATGGTTTTGGATTTTGGTTTTCTGATTGCAAAGCTTGTTTTTCTGTAACATCTGTATGAAATAACACATTTTTATAAGCATTAGATTGCCCATTTAATAAACCCCATTTAAGACATTAAGAATAACAAGTCTTGTAAGCTGATGTATGCACTAATGTAATAGAGCAGATAATGTTGATGCTACGGTATATAAGAGATATATTTAAATCTTGACTTAAAGCGTTCGTGACTGCAGGAATTAATTATATTTGGGTCTTTCGGTAAAGTCACGTAGATAAAAAAATAATAATCACGACGTTTCGATCGCAACACAAGCAATCGTCTTCAGGTGAAAACAATCAGCGTCGTGATTTTTTTATCTATCTACGTGACTTTACCGAAAGACCCAAAGAGTATAGATATATTTAACATTAAAATAAACAGTCTGGCTGTGAAACGCACAAACGTAGAATCGCGAGTTGGTTAACAAATGTTTGCACTGCTGTATCATTTGCTGTAAACCGAAGTGTCAAGACTTGCAATTGTGTATCGATGTAAGTTATAAAATGCTTGACTGAAATTAACTTCATTCACATTCTTGCTTCTGCAAAATGTTTGTTGTCATCGGTAAGAAGTTTAAAGGTCGGAAAGCCATCCGTGTATTGTAGCAATGTATGAATTAGAAATCGAATCTGCGTCAATTGCTAAGATTTTAAAGAGCGATTCAATTCACGTGTTACACTTGGATACGAGATGTTTACCGCTTTGACTAAATTAGACAATGTGAATGTTTGCAGCGCGTTTGAATTGCTGGCACAGGTAAAAAAGAAAACATGTTTGCCTTATTTGTGACTTGCTGTGATTTGAACTGTGGTCAGGGAGTTGTAAAATTGGTTGAATGTTGAATTAATATAAGTAAATAAATGGACGTGACATTGCACTGCTCTGCCTATACTTTTACACTCTGATGGTTCAACATTAATCGAGCACATTTTCGATGTGATTTGAACAATATGAATGCGGAGCAACACTGACTTGTCTATGGTTTTCTAAGCAAACTTTTGTTTTATATATAATGTTGCATATGGTGTGAGCATAAAATAACAATTGGTGCTTGATGTATATTTAACTATATGAATAGAAGATCAATGTTATCCTGAGATGCAAGTATAGAAATGTTTTCTTGTTTCGCTATTGGGTTGGTAGGTGGCCTAATAGCCTCAATGTTCGGAGTCACTTTGAAGGCTGCGTTGTTACGATTGGCAGGAAGTACACTGCCGTCAAAGTGGAGATGCACTACCCTGTGACATTTTGCAATAAGAGATTACGCTTGCCATTTTCATAGTCCAAACCCAATGTTTTCAAATAAGCTCCAAATAAGTCACATTTCAAAAGTAATATAATTAGTATAATTACCCCAATATAATTTGGGTTGAATGATCATTCTACTCTCACCTGGATTAGTAAAGGTCATGGTGGATACAGATATTTAGAATATTACAGTCTCTCTTGGCCATTGCCTGCGGGTCATCATGTGAATATTTGACACCTTTTTTTTCCAGGATCTTGTGTTAATTCCAATTGCAGTCACAGTCTCGTGTTCAGTGTGCAGATTTGCATTGATGTTTTGTGTGTTTGAGACATTATTAAGGTGTGTTTCTTTGTGTGTCACAGTTGCAGATACTTCTCTAATTCAATAAAATCCTTCGTAACATTCTTATGTTGAGAATTGTGGTATTTTAAAAACATTGAAAACAAGTTGAAAATTGTTTTTTTCCCACGATAGAAAATATTATGCATTGATTTCAGACACATTGGACAGAGCGAGTCAACGATACAAGTGTCACATGACCTCGATCTCTCACCTTGCCTCATGCATCGCAAATCTGCGACACGGGCTCAACATGCCTGTGTTCAAGAATACATTTCTCCAATGTACTTTTTCGTCACCCAAATCTCTCTAATCCATCAATGACATTTACATCACCGAAAGGTCATGAGGGGTTATGCCTGCACTTCCCCCTACTGCGCGGGCACACAGCACACCTGCGATTTTGAAAGTCACTTTCTGCACGTCCCTTGCCGCCGGAAATTCTTGGTCCGAAGAAATCGGGTCAAAGGTCAAGGTGTGTCTCGTGTGAGCCACTCACCTCGGCTGGTGACCTCTGAGCCAGCGGTGTAAATCCCACAGCTGCATTGGAGAGAGTTCCTCCAAGCGACGACAAATGTCGGCTTTTCATCACAATGGTACTTGTTTTATGAACCCTGGGGAAAAAATGTCATTGCCGAGTTGACCCCCCCCCCCCCACACACACCCTAAACAGGAATTGAACTGGATAACTCTAATGGCATCTGGATATTCAGAAGCTGCGTGATATAAAATACAACATAGATCCAGCTGAAGCGTAACGAGGCCATGCACACATCCGATTCGTTCAATACACCTTGTGAAGACACGGGATGGGGGACTGGCGGTGATGCCACTCAGGTGGGAGAGTGGCCAGCGTGAAAGGTGCGTGTGACTGTGACACTACTTGAACTTCGCGTTGACCGACGTGACATAGGCGGCACGTGTCTACAAAATAAGAGTTGTGTTCAGAACACTCAGATTTACATGGCGGTTATGGAAGAGGTCATTGATTTACTTGGCTATTTTGGACCATCTTCTTGGTTCTTTCGGTAAAGTCACGTGACTTTACCGAAAGAACCAAGAAGATGAATCCCTGCAGTCACGAAAGCTTTAAATCGAAATTTATTTTGGACCAATATTGTTATTCGTTTCAAGTCCTAAGAGATACACATCCAATCCTGACTCATCGTTTTTTTATGATGAATATCTACAAATGAGGAGTGTGGAATTCCCAATATCTCTAAAGGAGTGGTTGTGTGCGGACGCGTGGGTAATCCCAGGATCTCAGGGATAGACTCGTTCTCCTGGGTCAGAGGTCTCCTTACAGATATCAATATCTTCATGGGGAACATTCAAATCTGGCACACTGCAAAATCAAGATTGGCCTCATCTGGAAAACCTCTTTTCCACGGTATTAAAACAGATCGAGTGAGGCTTTCACAATACGTTTCTACGCCGTCGGTACGTGCACTGTGTATTTCTTTGCTCCACGATACGTTTCTCTGAATACCTCACGAAATGTACGTGGGGATACATTGACGCCGAATGTCTTTCTCCCACTTGGTTTAGCAAGACAACTGAACCACCGGTCAGATGTTCAGAACGCAGGCCGTCCGCATGACCTGTTCCGAGCTTGGACGATTGTGTTCCAGGCTTCACCTGCAGTACTTACTCAACAACGGAGGCTGCTCCTCCAGATTTGTCAGGCACTGCTGATACTCTGAGAACGGGAACCTCGTCAACGTTTGGCTTTTTGGGAAAACAAACAAAAAAACTCGTAAATTGGCATCTCTCGAACATCTGGGCGCCTTTATCCGAGGGGAAATGAGCAGCATACAAAAGTACGCGGGGACCCTTTCTAGTAGCTAATTGCTTTCCCCCCTGGGATTAATAGCTTAGAATGTCTCCATGGGCAGGAGCATTGGATACATCCTCACTCGCATGCGTCATTTTAAAGCACGTCGATCAAAGGATACATTTATTAGACGTGGGTGTAAAAAAGAACATTTTTGCTGAATTCATTGTCACTCCATCCGCCCTTCCGATGTTGCTCCCGTCCGTGATTCAGAGAGTGTGTGTTGGTTTTCATCGTGTTACCCGATTATAACCGGGTTGCCTTTCATCACACATGTTCAGTCTGTTGCGCGTTACGTAGAATACAATGTTTGAAGAACATTTGTGGGGCTGGGGGGCAGGGGGGCTGGGGGGACGTGTTTCGGTTGAATCTTTCTTGACACGCGCGCTCAATTGTCGCGCGCGGCACGAACTTCGCTCTCAAGGACACCTGCATGCAAAGGCTCCTTCCCTGAACGTTCGTCGCGTTTATTTCACGAGCGTCGCGCTCGATCTCATGCGATTCGAGAGCAGCTGAGTGGACAGCAATTAAAGATCCATTGATTGGCCAATAACACCTTAATATATAGGGGACTACAGATCTTGGGGGGGGAGATTTGGGGTCTGCTCACCACGTGGCTGCCTTTCCCACTTCTCTGGTTTTTCGCGTCTCCGAGCTGTTCTACCTCTCTTCTTAAACTATGAAAGAAAACGATCTACCTTTTTTTTATTTTGACTTAAAGCTTTCGTGACTGCAGGAATTTATATTCTTGGGTCTTTCGGTAAAAAAAAAACTACGACGTTTCGATCGCAACACAAGCGGTCGACCGCAGTTTTTTGTAATTATTTGTCATTTTCTTTGAACCTATCGACGTGACTTTACCGAAAGACCCAATAATCTACTTTTTTATTTTACCGGGTGTAAGACACACGAAGCGATGCAGAGCTATCTTTCAGAGGCGACCTGGCTATCACAAATGATAGCCTAACGAAGTGGCTTATCACGTGGACATTTATAGGAGCACACAAATACTCCGAACGCATGCATGTTGATTCTAAATGTGTGGGGGGCGGGGGGGGAAACCGGAGGGCTCTGAGAAAAATCCACGCGACCACGGGGAGAGAGACACCGCAAACTCGAAATATGCAGGCGTTCGGGTCGAGATCGAACCCACGACCCCCTGTATACCGGGCGAGGTAGTTAACATCTCGCCAGCGCGGCGCCTGGAGGGAGGTAAGGGAAGCAGAGGAAGACTGCGGAAGAGATGAAATCAAATGATCTGGAGGCCACTGCTCTACAGAAGCAACTCGGGAATTAAGCAATGGGGAGATCTTTGCCCAGCAATGGAGCATATCAGACTGACAGCAAGAAGATCTGCTTATTTGTATCACAATAGACCTGTCGTTGGCAATAACCAATGAGTAATTCGCGTCATCACCGCTGTTCAAGGGTGACACCGCGTCCTGAATGTCGGTCGCTTCTTGATGTTGTCTGCTTATTATTTCCACAGCACGAACAACACGAAACGCCACTAAACGCAGGACCTATTAATATATATGTATACAACACTGCAAATTCTGAATTCGTACACTCTCACTATGCATATATACTGTATGTATGTGGATATGGGAAGAAAAAAAAACATTTCAAATTATTAAATTCAAGGTTTTCATTTTTGTTTCATTATTTTACGCGCGAATCTTAATTGCCTCGATTTCAGGCCTTTCACGATCCCGGCGCGACTCGAGGATGTAACGTGACCCCCCCACCCCCCACCACCAACACGAAGCTGGTTCATCTCCACAGAGCCTGCTGCATTAGCCCCTTTCAATTGAAAAAAAATAACCCGTAAAAACAAAGTTTTTCACTATAAATCCTTTATATGCGTGGCATCGGTTTTATTTTATTATTCATTTCTGTTTTTCTTGAATAAGAGTTTCATTTTGATCAAATTGGTATTTTAAATTAAATATGAAAAAAAAATTCCTAAAAAGTTGAAAATTTTGGAGAAAAATTTTCACGAAAATAAATTGTCACGCACAACGAGTCTGTGTGCAAAATGTCAGCTCGATTGGATCACGGGAAGCGGGTTAAAAAACGACCGAAAGATTTGCACGGTCGTAAGCGCGCAAGCAAGCAAGCAAGTGAACTTAATATAAAGGATTTTAAAAAAACATCGACTTCTAATGCAGGCTCACAGCACTGCCCCCAGCCCTTCTTATTAACACGCAGCTTGCCATGGGACCCGTACGGAGTTACAATTAATGAGACAGCATCTGCAAACACTGGTATACAAACAAACAAACAAAAGCTTTGCTACATTTCGATTTAGAGCTTTCGTGACTGCAGGGATTCATCTTCTTGGTTCTTTCGGTAAAGTCACGTAGAAGGGAAATAATAAAATAATAAAAATTAAACATAATTAAATAATTCTCACGACGTTTCGGCCACAACGCAAGCAGCCGTCCTCAGGTGA